GTCTTCTTCCTCACCTCCATCTTCGTCCTGTCTCCCCCCCATCTCTCATCCGTGGTATCTTCCCCATGTGTGTGTACGAGGAGGGACCTTTCTTCAATGTATGCGGTCCCTCCTCTTCCTCTCACATGTGTGATGTACGATGGGAGGTCGTGTCAGTATCTGATTGGTCAGGTCATTTCTTTGAGTCTTCTGTTGCGCTACTTTGTGCTATTTTCCAGAGGTACATTGCTGGTTGATGCTTTGCTGACACTGCATTGTCCATACGAGTCCTTTTCATCACTTTGCGGATCCTTGGCTCCATATACATTGCTCGACTGTTGCATACTGTAACGGTGCAGACCAGAACAAGAATCGACCTCTCTCACGAAGTACAAGATAACGTAGCGGAAGACTTAGATACTAATGATCCGAACAATCAATATTGCAATGCAGCCCCGAACATACATCACGATCATCACTCCATGGTGTGAAGGGGCCTGGTGCTCACACAGGAAGAATGCGCCAGTCCCCAACCATACACAGACGAAGAAGAGGGGGGTTAGACGAAGAAGAGGGGAAGATGGGAATGTCGTCAACACCAAGTCTTCGGCACAAGCCCAAATAGTCCCTCGTCAAAATGTCTGAATGCCAATGTCGAGTCTGGATCCAATGTCGTCAAGTCTCAAGTCACAACTCTCTCTCTCTGTCGTAGTCCGCTGATACTGAGAAGTCAGGTAGTGAGAGGGTGAAGAAGAGATGGTGGACTTAGAAGAGGAAGAAGAAGAACTCTCTCTCTCTTTCTCTCTGTCCGGTACTAACCTGTGAAGTGGGCGCCTTGATGCAGGTACCTTGAAGATGAAGCTGGAGCTATGGCGCCACAGGTAAGTCTCCCTGGCCTCCGCCAGCCATCTCTCTCTCTCACCTCTACTAGCGCCCAGTGCTGAAGACAAATGCTACTGCTACTAGCGCCCAGCGCTGAAGACTACTGCTAGCGCTAAGCTACTCCTGCAGCGCTCCTCCAGAGTGCTGCTGCCGAATCCTGAAGACTACTACTGCCTCGGCCTCTGACTGCCCGTGAAGTGCATGGGAACTCCCTATGTACTACCTCGGCCTGCCTACTGCCTGCAGCTGCAGAGCTGGGCAGTCCAGGAGGCTGCTCTTGCCAATGCCGAGGTGAGCCAGGGCCTGCCGCTGCAGCTCCTGCTGAGGCTGGCGTGGGAACAGGCCAAAAATAGCCTGTTCCCGAAACCCTGGTTTGGTGCCTGAGTGTTAGGGCAGGTCGATCTTATGAGGGCCCGAAAGTGGCCCTCCGTTTCAGGCTGAAAAGACTCAGGGCCTGGAAGGCCCTGTTTTAGGCTGAAAGCCTGAAACGACATAGGGCCTGCAGGCCCTCGTTTTTCAGTCTTTCAGGCTGAAATGACATGGGGCCTGTAAGCCCTTGTTTCTAGGCTTTTAGGCTGAGACTGCGGGACAGGCCCTGCAGGCCCGTGTGGCTGCGCAGTATGCCACATCGACTGAGCATGTATCAACCAGTCACAAAGGAAAGCCGAGTAGATCACATCCAGAAACCGATGAAGCAAAGATAGTCCACACATAGTATCAACACTGTTTATTAAACTTGGTAATGTTTTGTCCGAATAACCTCAGAGTCATGATGCGCTGCTCAGAAGTGAGCAGCGCTTCTTCCCCCAACCCTGAATAACTGCTATCACTACCCCTGAGTCCTTGAAACAACCAGCGGCACCGAAGTACTGCCTCTAGAGGGAAGCGCCACCCTGAAACAGGCCTCTGAAACCAAGCGCCTCTCAGAGGATGAATAAGATGACCAGCACTACAGTTTCTGATGAAGATGAAGTGCCAGAAGACCTCCCAGGCGAAGATCTGCAGCAGCGCCACCTCTCCTGACAAGGATGATCTCTGAGGATGCAAGGTGCAGCTATGGCTGCAGCGCCACTACCCTGAAACCCTACTCCCGAGGAGGGTTCAACAGGGCAGACCTCAGATAGCCCAGACCTCTGAACAGCCCCGCGTGCTGTCAGAGAACAGCGAAGGTCCAAGATATGGCCGACGCTTCGAGGGTCTGGCTATGACTGTCTCCTCCAACGCTGAAGCTGTACCACTCCAGTTCACGCGTTGTGTCGCCACAATGTGCACGGTACCAACTGCCGAAACCCACGAACAGACTTCGACAATCTATTAATAGAACTACACTAGCCTAGACACGACCTAGACCGGACTGACTGGACTGACTAGTACTGTTTCAGTTTCAGCCCCTAGGGCCTCTCCGTACCCGGCTATAGGCTACAGGACCAGTCTAACAGCGTAGGCCTTAGGGCCTCTGTCCTAGTGGTAGCCGGGGCCTGCTATTCGCAGTTAGGGCAGCTGAGGAAATTTGAGTTAGTGCGGGCCTGAAATTTTCCCAAATTTGCAGATATGTCCCTCATGGATTTTCCTCACGGTCACATATCTCGGTTAGCCCTCAGCCAAACAAAATTACGAATCTGGCCTAGCTATCTTACAGCCTCGAGTCGATGGGCCACAGGCTGCAGCAAGTCCTTGCATAAGTGCGGGTACTCGAGGCCGAGCAGAAGAAGACAAAAGTTGGCATTTTTAGAGGCCCGGTGGTTGTAGGCTAGGTCTAGGAGGGTACCAGTCCAAAGTAGCCGGAGTCTAGGGCCTGTATGGGAGATATCAGAGTCTGCAATGATGTTTCCCTCCAAAAGGGAGGAGGTACCAGTAGCTTGGAGGTCGTGCGGCCTGGGAGTCACCGCCCAAGAGGCGAGTTGGCCGCTATATCTCGAGGAGCGAAGTGATCCTCCTCATTTGCTGCGTGCAAGTTTGGAGTCATGCTGCTGGAGCGCTGGGGAAGAGGAAGAGCGCCCAGCTGGCCACCTTTGCTATGGTGGAGGAGGTCGGGCTGGAGGAGGAGGAAGGGTGAGCGCCATAGGTACTTACCTGGCTATGGTGGTTGCCGTCTTCATCACCTTGGTGGGCGCTGCAGCAAGAAGGCCCCAGTGGGGGTAGAGCTACGCCAAGAAGCTTTGAGGCAGAGTCAGGCATGGCGGCCTGATCTAGAGCATTCATAGCTGCTTGAGTTGTCTTCTGCACATCAGGGCCAGGCCCTAGCAGTCCGGCATAGCCTCGGCTTTGGAAGGAGGAGGAAGAAGGACGGCCATGGCTATGGTGCACCTCATGTGATACCTGCAGTAGACGAGGTATTCAGACATTGATTTGGTTCAGCCATTCAATATTATTATTTTTATTTCTTGATTGAATAAGAGGGGAGGAGATAAGGAGGAGAAGAGCGGTTGGTGAAGAAGAAGAGCATTATCATTGGTCTCTGCTGGTGTACATCATCTTCTTCTTCTTTCTTTCTTCTTCTTCTTCTTCTTCTTCTTCTTCTTCTTTTCCTCTCTCTCCTCTCAAGCTCATTCATTTCTTTTTTTGCAATTGGATGACATTGTACTTTCTGATGAATGTGTGCTTCGAAATTGGCCAGGATCGTAAGATTGGTATCAAAGCGGATTCTACTTGCTGGCGAGAGTCGACTTTGCCGCTCCAACACCTCTGGGCTAGCGCACTTCGTTTGGGGCCGATTCTCAGGGCTGGCGCACTTTGTTTGGGGCCGGCCACATTTTGGTCCAGCTTCTGTTTCGTTCGCTTGTGAGGACACCTCTGCTGGTTCAGCAGAGGAGCCTGTACGTCCGGTTGGGACCCATGCAGGCCGTTTTAGGCCAGGATTCAGGACTGCATCCTGGACTGACGATCATTGGTTTATCATAGAGACGATTTCGGGCAAAAGAAATTCCCATGGTGTGACGGGCGGTGTGTACAAGGCCTGAGTACATATTCACCGCGGCATGCTGATCTGCAATTATTAGCGATTAGATATATTATTTTATTTGTAGGCTAATGCAACAAAAATGCTAAGATTGAAAAAATAATTGACCCATTTCAACATACATGTCCTTGGTACATTTCGGCGTTGTGATTGGACAGACCAGGATGCAAACCGGAGCTGCATCCTGGACTGCCCTCATTCTGGATAAGCAGCATCCGGGAGTTGAGACAATGCTGGAGCAGCACCGGATGTAGAGGAGCTCGGTAGTGGAGATAGGAGGTCAGGGTGGATGGAGGCCAGGAGAGTGGGTTCTTACCTGTTGACTTACCTTGGCGCCATCACTGGAGTACATCACCAGGGCGCTCCCACCTGCAGTTCAACTCCAAGTCGACACCATTACGCTGTTCAGTATCTTGCTTTGAGAGAGAGGCAGAAAGGATTCTTCTTCTTCTCCTCCTCCCCTGGCTATCTCCTCCATTTCCACTCCTTCTCCCCTATGCTCTTCCTTCTTCTGTTCGTGTGTGTGTGTGTGTGTGTGTGTGTGTGTGAGAGAGAGAGAGAGAGAGAGAGAGAGAGAGAGGGAGGGGGCACAAACATAGGTCTGGTTGTGGCACAATGACCTATTCATTGAACATTGCCGTATCAAATAGGGTTGCAAATTCGGTCAAGAAGCAGTCAAATCAGTCGTGATCCAGTTGCTTTATCAACTGGTTATGTAGGATTTGACTGCTTTCTTGACCAAAACATGAAAATAGTGAAAAGATAATAAAACAGTCCAATACGCTATTTTCACTAATATGCAGAGGTGAATTCTGGTCTCTCTCCCTTGTGAGCATTTCAGTCAATCCTCTTGTTTTGCACTCTGTGGGATCCATTTTCCATCCAGTGGTTCCAGGGCAGCAAAGGCAGTAGCGGAACAGTCTGTGAGACTCGGTGGAGCTGCAGTGGTGGCGATGGAAGTTGTTCCTGATGAGATTGAGAAGATCCAGGAGACAATCAAGCGGTGGAGCGATGAAGAGGATATGCACCTCATTATCACGACTGGTATGTCCAGCTGTCAACTGTCAGCCCCTCGAGAACAACTTAAATTTTGAAGTTTTGTCACCACTGGTGTGTCCAGCTGTCCATTGTCAACCTGTCAACAGCAATGTAAATCTCAAAATGTGAACATACACTGGGGTCAAGACATGCATGTGTGTGTTGTCCCAGTGTATTGTGTTCTTTTTCCTTTTGACAAACAAGCGGACCCGCCACAGCTACTCCCACAGCACACAGATCCCGCAGGCAGTAGCGGGATCGTCACTGCGCCCCAGATCCCATTTTTGGTCTTTTGCGGATGTAGCGAGTAGTGGAGCGAGGCCGTCGAAAGTGCCGGTATGAGGACCTCGCTCCACTGCTCAGCAAATGTGCAAAATGAGAACCGTTCTCCCTCTAGAACATGGGTAGAGGGGCCTCGGTCCCACTATGGATGAATCTTCCACTAGAGCCTAGGAAGATACACTCCCATATTTTTGTGTTTTGTGCATGGGGCCTCACTCCCACTACGATTGAATCGTCCGCTAGAACATGGGAAGATACACGGCAATATTTTTGTGTTTTGCGCATGCGTCGAGTGAAAAGATACACTGCCATATTTTTTGTCTTTTGCGGGTCTCTTGTTTGCGCTTAGGAGTAGTGGCAGGCAGGTAGTGAAAGGTGAAATTGAGAATAGAATATAGCACAGTTTAAAAAATAAAATAAAAGAGCTGAGTGTAATGACCCGCCAAAAACACAGACTGAGAACACTGCTGATTTCTGGGATTTGCCGCTGGAATGAATGCCTTGCTGAGATTCCCGCATGCTGCTGTGGTTTCCAAGTCTGTGTGTGTGTGCGTGCCTGCTGGTTTGCATGCCTTTCTGAGTGCTTGTCGGCTGAGTGTGTGTGTGACCCGCAAGGGTACTTGTTGGTTGAAAGGCCCCGCAGGGCCGGTACTTACCTGTGCCCGTGACTTTGAAGGTTGCAGCGGGGAAAACACTCAAGTAGCGGGGGTAGGCCCGCGACACTTGGAGCAGCGGGGAAAAACACTCGAGTAGCAGGTAGGCCGGTACCACTCAAGTAGTGGTAGGAGTGTCGGGTACTGGAGGCCGAGCAGAAGAAGACAAAACGTTGGCATTTTTAGAGGCCCAGTAGCGGTAGACTAGAGGTATGCTGGTACCAGTCCAAGTAGCCCGCGTCGTCCGGACGATAGCAGAGCCTGCAATGATGTTTCCCTCCGAAAGGGAGGAGGTACCGGTTGCTGGGAGGCCGCTCGGCCTAGGAAGTCACCGCCCAAGAGGCCAGTAGGCTGCTATATCTTCCGGAGGAGCAAGTAGCTCCTCATTTGCGGTATGCAAGGATTGGCAACATGCTGCTGGAGCAAAGCGCTGGACTGGTACAGCGCTGCCTGGAGGTGAAGGGCAACTGGGCGCTCAGCCTGGCTATGGCGAGCAGCCCAGCCTGAGGAGGAGGAAGAAGGGGGCGAAGGAGGAGAGTGGCGAGACACCTACCTGGCTATGGTGGACACCATCTTCATCACCTTGTTGGGCGCTGCATCTGGAAGGCCCCAGTTGGGGTAGTGCCGCACCAAGGAAGCTCGAGGCAGAGTCAGGCATGGCGGCTTAGTCAGCAGTGGCATTGCTGCTTTGGGTTGTCCTTTGGACAGGAGTGCAGCACCATAGCTGTTTTGGGTTGTCCTTTGGACAGGAGGGCAGGGCCCTCAGTAGTCCGCCATAGCCTAGGCATGTGAGAGGAGGGAGGAGGAGGGAAGCCATAGCTATGGAGGACTTGTGGTTGTTGTTGTTGTTGTTGTTGTTGTTGAGTCAGCAGTAAGAGGGAACTTCGGATATTGATTCTGGTTCATCCACTCATTGTTATTATTATTATTGGGAGAAGAATAAGATTGGCGAAGTGAAGGAGGAGGAGGAAGGTGGAGAGAGAAGGGGGATTTGTCATTGGTCTTGCTGGTGTACATCTTCTTCTTCTTCTTCTTCTTCTTCTTCTTCTTCTTCTTCTTCTTTCCCTCTTCTCTGGTCTCTATCTCGTTGCAAGTGCTTTCATTTCTTTCGCAATTGGGTGGCATTGTCTTTCATTGTGAATTTGCACTTTGGGAAATGACCAGGATTGTGTAATGACCCGTCAAAACACAGACTGAGAACACTGCTGATTTCTGAAGTTCTGCCGATGGAATGGATGCCTTGCTGAGATTCCCGCATTCTGCTGTGTTTTCTAAGTCTCTCTGTGTGTGCGTGCTTGTGACCTGCGTGCCTGACTGAGTGCTTGTCGGTATGAGTGTGTGTGACCCGCAAGGGTACTTGCTTGTTTGGCAGGCCGTAGGGCTGGTACTTACCTGTGGCCGTGGCATTGAGGGTTGCAGCAGGGAAAAACACTCAAGTGGCGAAGCTAGCGGCCCTGGGGCCCTTGGGGTAGCGGAAAAACATTCAAGTAGGCCGGTAGGCCGATACTGCACCCCACTGCATTTTTAGAGTCCAGTAGCGGTAGGGTAGGTCTAGGCCGGTACCAGTCCAACCAGTCTGAGTCTAGAGCCTGTACGGGTAATATCAGAGTCTGCAATGATGTTTCCCTCCGGAACGGAGGAGGTACCGGTTGCTTGGGAGGCCGAGCGGCCTGGAAGTCACCGCCCAAGAGGCAAGCAGGCCGCTATATCTAGAGGCGGAGGCAAGAGCTCCGCCTCATTCTTCAGTGTGCGAGTTGGGCGTCACGCTGCTGGAGCGCTGGCTGGAGTAGCGCTGGGCACTACAGCGCTGCTGGGAGGAAGAAGCCGGGAGCTTCCACCTTGGCTATGGTGGAGCTCTACAGGTAGGAGGAGGGAGAAGGGGACTAAGGAGGAGAGTGGCGAGGTACTTACTGGCTATGGTAGACACCATCCTCATCTCCTTTCTAGGCGCTGCATCAGGAAGGCCCCAGTGGGGGTAGTGCCGCACCAATGAAGCTCGGGACAGAGTCAGGCATGGTGGCTGAGTGAGCATCGGCATAGCTGCATGGTGATGACCTTGAAGTGGAGCAGCGGCATAGCTGCTTTGAGTGGTCCTTTGGACAGGAGGCTGAAGCCTCAGTAGTCCACCGTAGCCTCGGCCTGTAGGTAGAGGAAGAAGAAGGGTTGCCATGGCTATGGTGGACCTCATCTTGTGCCTGCAGTAGAAGTGGGATTCGGACATTGATTCTGGTTCAGCTGTTCAACATTATTATTGTTTATTTATTGTTTGAATAAGAGAGGAGGAGATAAAGAGGAGGAGGTTGTTGAGCGAAGAAAAAGGGCTTTGTCTTTGGTCTATGCTGGAGTACATCATCTCTTTCTTTCTTCTTAATTCTTCTTCTTCTTCTTTCCCTTTCTCTCCTCTCAAGTTCTTTCATTTCTTTTGCAATTGGACAGCATTGGGCTCAAGTTCATTCATTTCTTTTCACAATTGGACAACATTGTACTTTCTGATGATTGTGGACTTCAAAATTGGCCAGGATCGTAACAATTATAACAATTGGTATCGGAGCGGACTTACTTGCTGGCGAGAGGTGTTAGTCACCCTAAACCTAATTTCGAATTAGGTTAGGGTTAACCTAATCTCAGATTAGGGTTGGGAAGTTAGGGTTAAGAGGGGCAGTGAGGTATGTGGAATGTGCCCCCACCTGGTTAGGTCATGTAGGGTCGACATCAGACCTAACCAGGTTGTTTGTGTGATTGGATGGGGTGGCGAGACACAAAGGAGGCTGATTGGAGTAAGCGAGAGGGAGTAGAGAGTGAGAGGTACTTGCACCTGGAATCTGCACTTCAAGAAGACATTGAGTGATTTTTCGGCCTCCCCTCAAGAGGGAGACCTGACCGGAGGCTGCCATATCTGCATCGAAGAGCTGCAAGTTGCTACTTTGGTCTTTAGACATCGACGGGGGATCCGGCGTTGTAACAGGGGTGTAGGGAGGCCCTCTTAGTCATGCCAGGACACTTCGTGTAGTGGTAGCTAGGGGTCAGGAGGACCTATGAGAGAGGGGGGTGAGTCATTATCCATCTATGGAGGCCGGGCCTCACAGGTAAGTGTCGTGTGACCTGGTTATGCCCGTGGGAGGTTGCTTGGTGCTTCGCGGCCTGTTGGGGTGTGTTGGGCTCTCTTCCTCTTCTCTGCGGTCTTGGTTGTGTGTGTGAGCTTGTGGATTGCTTTCTCACCTGATGGATGGATGGATGATGTATCTTGTTCTCAATGACATACCTTTCTACGGTGCATTCTCCTTCATTTCTGAACGGCTGTAGGGGTAAGTTCTTGCTGAAAGTTGTCTTTCCTTTTCAGTACGGTAGAGGTAGTTTGGGACTGACTTGGTACACCTATCTCGTTGGTCCTGGTCCACGACCTACTTGGGACCTTCGGGACTTGGTGGGACCAGGCCCAACGGGACAGGTTCTTTAGGGCCCAAGTCTGTTGCCGCCAATGCATCCCTTTGCTGTGCTGAATTTGGGGGACATACGGCTAGCAAGGGCATTCCTTTCAAGGGGATCTTGACTGGTCTTACTGCATGTTCTCACATACTGCCCCGTGTCTGGCTCGGCGACCGTCTGCACCCCTCGAAATCTCCATTGCTGCAGTTAGTTTTCCTCGGCTGAATTATTGTGGTACATGTACGTTGTCAGGTTAGACAAGAGGGGATCTCCAGCTAATCTGATTGGGCCCGTTCGATAAGTCAGTCATCTCTTTCGTTTTTTTTATTTCTTTAATTATTTATCTTTATTCCATGGCTACGCCGGACCCGGACCCGGACATTTCCGGACATGGAACCGGACCCGTGTCCGGTAGTTTGCACGTCCGGAATTCCGGACATTTCCGGACCTCCGGACATGGGGGGATCCGGACGGTCCGGAAGTTTGGACAGGTCCGGAAATGTCCGGACCATTAAAAAAAAAAAAAAAAAAAAATCTGAAAAAAAAGTATGTTATGCAGAATAACAATGCAAACCACTTTTGCCTTAGAGTCATGTCAGAATTCCTAACCAAACTTGAGTTAAAAGTTAAAAACTATAAAAAGCT